GAGAGAGAGAGAGAGAGAGAGAGAGAGAGAGAGAGAGAGAGAGAGATGGGAAGACATCCACAGAGGGAGAGTGAGAGGCCTGTGTGAGGGTAGGATAGTAACAGAGAGAACATATGTGCGAAAGTGAGACTTACCGGTGTATTGCATTGAGAGGCCATAGCCGCTAGGTCGAAGAAGACAATTCGGTTTTCATGCGTTGATTTGTCCCGACTATTCTTGAGTTGATATGTCATGTGCTTTGTGTGTGTGTGTGCTCGGACTCGTGTGAGAATCGTGTGAAAGTGTGTGATGCATGGTAGTTCCAATTCAGGAATACAAATCAAACAACTTTTGTCTGATGGTCTTTCCAAGATCCGTTTTAAACTTGAAAATAACAAAGAAATTTAAGAAAATGAAAAAAGGAAATCATGTCACAGTCACACCCCCTTTAATCCCCTTTGAAGTTTACAACCCGTTGACACCCCACAGACCTCCTGAAGTGAGACATCACCAAATTCAGAGGGAAGGCCAGATTTGAGGACATCTCACAGGGCGCACAAATGCCCACCATGAGTGGTTTTTTCCCCCTTCAGCCTCATTTTTTGGCTCGCCCAACTGGCCCCAGCAAGTAAGTTCAGGCGGCCGGGGCAAGTGGTCCTCCAACCACTCTGATAGCCTAGGTTCATCCCACATAACCAGAATGGCTTGGCGTTGACAGGACTATGTAGCATTTGAAAGATGAACAGATAGTCATGGAATATAAGTTTATATAACATTCACTTCATGGGCACCTTGGGTGATCTATAGAAAAGTGGAAGTGGGTTTCTGACCGTTTCTCATAAAATTTTGGAGAGAATAATATTACATAAGGGCATAACATATCACAAATTTTGTTTTTGTTGGGCTGTACCGTTTTACCATCAGGGGCCACTACATCTGATCACCAGGCTATCGTCGATTCGTTTTCTGAAGTTTTCTCACTTGATGACTTGAGTAATGTCACATTTCGCAAGCGAAAGGAGCATCAAGGTTATGTACTGTACCAATTCGCCGTATGAGTGGAGCAGTGGTAATATTTTTCCTGTAGCATATCAGAAAGGAAACAATAACTCCTTGGGTGTTTTAGTGTTGCAATGGGCACAATTTCCTCTTTGGAATGTACTTGGAGTCGTGGACGTATGGCAAGCACAGTGCATCATGACACGCCTGGGCGTTGTGGATGGATGGATGGGAACATTCAGATGAGGGCATACATGTCTTTGCGGGTGGTGACAGGGGGCCTATACTACCTATAGTGAAATTCTAGTATTCTACCTTGCAGAGGATTCAACATCTCATCGACGTTCAATGTTCAAACCCTCTGTGGAAGAGAAAACAAAAAAAAAAAAAAAAAAAAAAACAAAAAAAACTTCAGGGAAAGTAGGATAAAGAAAAAGTTCAATATGAGGTTAATGTTGACTGTGTATGCCTCAGTTGCCAGCACTTCATCATCCATATTACATACCAATGCAGTTTTGAATTTGCATGGTGCAAAATGTGGTAGCCGTCATTGAATGTCTTCACATTGTCTGCGCAATTAACCAGATTGTACCTGGAATGTGAATCAGGAACATGCAAGTTATATATGTTAACAAGGAAACAGAGGATTCGAGTACCCTGCCTGAGCTGACCACATCAACAGAAACTCTCAAAAACAGGCCTCAAGGCAAATCAAATGGCGCTCTGAAAAGTCGCAAACAATGGAAGAAGGACATGCGGCTGAGCACAAATTCCCTCCAAGAATAGATCTGAGAATTTCTCAATATGCCATACAACTTCCCATCTTTTTTTTTTCTTCTTTTTTCTTTTTTTTAAAACAACTGTCCGTATGGGAGATAGGGGCACTGGTATGATCAGACGCCTCTATCTCCCCCGGGGAGGCTCCATCTATTGGTGGGGAGCAACACCTGCTGGAAATCGGGTCCAGCGTCCCTTACACAACAACCATTTCAATCACGCTGAGTTGTTTCTGGCTGTCTTCCAGCCTGTCAGCATTGATTACCCTTAAGACAGGGGATTGACTGAGCAGGAGGGTGAGCACTGAAATAGGGAGGAAAAGGGGGCCTCTTCGTCCCTGCTGCTGGGCGCCCGAAATATGTGACCAGTCTTACCTGTTAGATATGAAATTGCCCCCTCAACTATCTCTGAGCCCAGAAAAGGCTCCCACCCGATAATGTTGCATCACGAAGTCCCACCTTGTGTCTCGCCACCACAAACATGCACTCAAGCAACCTGCCCGGGTCTAGTGTCGACCCTACACGGCCCTGCCAGGTGGGGGCAGCTTCCCTTTACCACGCTGCCCCACTTAACCCTAACTTCCGCCCTAACCCTAAGTGGTTAGCCCTTACCGCTAGGGTTAGGGTTATGGCAGCAAAGTCAACTCTCGCCAGCAAGTAGAATCCGGTCCGATATCAATGTTACGATCCTGGCCAATTTCGAAGTATACATTCATCAAAAAGTACAACGCCGTCCAATTGCAAAAAGAAATGAATGAACTTGAGAGGAGAGAGAGGGAAAGAAAAAGAAGAAGAAGTAAGAAAGAAGAAGAAGATGATGTACTCCAGCATAGACCAATGACAAGGCTCTTCTTCTTCACCCAACCAATCTCCTCTTCCTTATCTCCTCCCCTCTTATTCAAACAAGAGATAACAATAATAATGTTGAATGGCTGAACCAGAATCAATGTCCGAATCCCACTTCTACTGCAGGCACAACATGAGGTCCACCATAGCCATGGCCACCCTTCCTCTTCCTCTACATACAGGCCGAGACTATGGCGGAGTACTGAGGGCCTCCTGTCCAAAGGACAACCCAAAGCAGTTATGTCGCTGCCCTTCTGTCCCCAGGTCAACTCCATGCAGCTATGCCGCTGCCCACTCAACCGCCATGCCTGACTCTGTCCCGAGCTTCCTTGATGTGGCACTACCCCCACTGGGGCCTTCCAGATGCAGCGCCTAACAAGGTGATGAAGATGGTGTCTACCATAGCCAGGTAAGTACCCCACCACTCTCCTCCTTGGTCCCCTTCTCCCTCCTCCTACTACCGGTAGAGCTCCACCATAGCCAAGGTGGAAGCTCCCGGCTTCTTCCTCCCAGCAGCGCTGTAGTACCCAGCGCCACTCCAGCCGCGCTCCAGCAGCGTGTCGCCAAACTTGCACACTGAAGAATGAGGCCGAGATCTTGCCTCGGCCTCTTGATATAGCGGCCTGCTTACCTCCTGGGTGGTGACTTCCAGGCCGCTCGGCCTCCCAAGCAACCAGTACCTCCTCCCTTTCGGAGGGAAACATCATTGCAGACTCTGATATTGCCCGTACAGGCTCTAGACTCGGACTGGATGGACTGGTACCGGCCTAGATCTAGCCTACCGCTACTGGGCCTCTAAATGAGCCCATACAGTCCGCTGATATTGTCTTCTTCTGCTCGGCCTCGAGAACCCGGCACATCTACTGCTACTGGTGCAGTACCGGCCTACCTGCTACTTGAGTGTTTTTCCGCTCCTCTAAGCACCGCGGGCCCCTGGCTCCGCTACTTGAGTGTTTTCCCTGCTGCAACCTTCAATGTCACGGCCACAGGTAAGTACCGGACCTACGGGCCTGCCAAACAAGCAAGTACCCTTACGGGTCACACACACACTCATGCCGACAAGCACTCAGACAGGCACGCACGCATACAGACTTCGAAAACACAGCAGAATGCGGGAATCTCAGCAAGGCATCCATTCCATCGGCAGAACTTCAGAAATCAACAACGTTCTCAGTCTGTGTTATGGCGGGTCATTACAATATAATAAAAAAAAAACGAAAAAAATAAATCCAATCGAATCAGTCGATTCGATTGGATCCAATCAATCAATCAATCAATCAGTCAATCAATCAATCAGTCAATCAATCAATCAGTCAATCAATCAATCAGTCAATCGATTAATTAATGGAAAAAAAAAAAAAAAACAGTTTAAAAAACGGAAAAAAAAATCCAACCGAATCAGTCAATTCGATTGGAGGCCGAGAAGTAGGAGGGCGAAGAAAAGGAGGAGGAGGAGGAGGAGGAGGCTGGCGAGAAGGAGGAGGACGTAGAAGAGGAGGACGATGGCGAGAAGGAGGATCATGGCGAGAAGGAGGAGGACAAAAAAGAGGAGGAGGAGGAGGAGGAGGATGGCGAGAAGGAGGAGGACGAAGAAAACGAGGAGGAGGAGGAGGAGGAGGGTAGGGAGGACGATGAAGAAGAGGAGGAGGACGGGGAGGAGAGGGAGGAGGACGAGGCGAAAGGAGGGTCACAGGAGGAGGGGGCCGAGTGAGGGGAGCAGGAGGCAGGCAGTCTCGCCTCGACCGTCCTCACCCGCTGCCCAGCCCCCGAACCCTTTTTTTTTTTTTAATCAATCAATCAATCAATCAAACAATCATATTAAAAGAAAACGGAAAAAAAAATCCAATCAAATCATTCAATTCGATTGGATTTTTTTTTCGTTTTTTTTAATATGATTGATTGATTGATTGATTGATTGACGACAGTTGTCGAGTGCCCAACCCCCGAACCCTTGTCTTCTTTTTCAATCGATCAATCAATCAATCAATTAATAATAAAAAAACGAAAAAAAAAATCCAATCAAATCAGTCGATTCGATTGGATCTTTGATATTGATCGAGATCCAATCGAATGGACTGAATCGATTGTTCTTTTTTGCGTTTTTTTTTATTTATTGATTGATTGATTTGCAAGGAATATGAGTGTGAGCGGCATACATAAAACCAAATTGCGAAATTACACAGCTGTCCAAGTAGTCGTGTCCCAAGCAGAGAGTACAAATGCACCGAGAAAACCATCCATATAGAGCAATACAATGAAGTAATGAGCCAATGTTCAAGCCCGTAGGCCACACCAACACAGTATCCAAAGTCGCTCTGCTCTGTCTGGCGCTCAGCGCCTAGCCTACTCTACCCGACTATCCTACCTACAGCTGGTTCACGTAACAGGATCACTTCGATTCACGAAGACCAATGTACATGACTGCCAACACCATCGCTGACCTCTCTTCATGTACCAGGTACGTATCACACCACCCTCAATCAGACCTTGATTACCCCACACAGCGCCTCCTTCCCTGAAGACCACCTGATCATCCGCTGTAACCCCTGGCGCCCAGCAGCCCGGCTATGGCTGCCTGCGCCCCGCTGCCCTGCAGCGCCCCACTAACACCTCTCGCGCCCCGTCAGCGTCCTTGGCAGCAGCGCAGCATCAAGCGAGAGTGCAGCAGCACTTCCGCATTGCCAGCACTGGCCAGCATGCCTGGCCTGGGCTGCCTCATTCCTTTTGTGGAAGTGGCAGCCTCCTCGATGCTGCGTGTGGCCTGACTGGAAGCTTCCAGTAGCTTCCGGTTGGGTCCCAGACCCTGCGTCCAGGCCCAAGACTACAGTTGAGGGTCTGAGCCCTTTGCAGTTAGGCATGGCCTGAGTCTCTGGACTTGGGCTGTTTGCTGCATCTGTGCAGGGCTCCCAGGCAGGTGCGTCGGCACTACTGCTTTTGCCAAGGCCGAAGGCCTGCTCCCCAATGTATCGGCCCTGCTTTGTGTATGTGTGCCCAGGCGCAACTGTCAAGGCCTGGGCCAACTGTATGACGCAGCATTGTGAGGCTCACGCGTCTGCCCAACCAACTGGCGTGCTGCGAAAGCCTGAATACCCACATATGGAAATGCCGAATTTTGCCTGTGACGAATATTCAGGCCCGCCTTCACTTAGGGCGGGCACTTGGCTTGCTGGAGGCCTTAGCCCAGAACAATGTGATGTCTGATAGGGCCCCTTGAGGGCTTGTTCCTCACATTCCATCCCCCTTAGCTTCGAAAGTCCGCTGAGATGCTTCATGCTGGTGCCTTCCCCTTCAGTTTCTTCTCATAATCTGTCACGATCTGAGGAGCTGTTTTGACAAGTTCCTCCCTTGAAATCCATCGATCATCCTTCGGATCAGTATGATGCCTGAAATGTACTCTATACTCCCTTGCAGGTTTGGGAGGTCTTCCCCTGCCAGATCGCTTGGGAACAGGCGTGTCTCTATGATCCAGGATGTCGTCGACGTCCACGTGGCCATCCATGATTGGGGGCAGCATAGATCTCTGTGATGGGAACTGTTTTGTCTCAGCGAAAGGTGCAAGCTTGGAGGCGTGAAAAACAGGGTAAGTGTGTAAGTGACCAGGGATACGAATGACGTACGAGTGACCATCCAAATCATTCCCCACAATGTCTAGGACTTCCCAGGGACCGAAATACTGAGGCATTAGTTTCCTAGAGATGCAACTCCTGTCCCAACTCACTAGCCTTGACCCAGACACGTTCCCCTACCTTAAATGTGGACTGTCGGCGAGGCTTGTTCTCAGAAGCAATCATGGCTTCCTGAGATTTCTTGATGTGTTCGACAGTCTGCTGCAACAGTTTCTCATACTGGACACCAAATTCAATGGTTCCAGGAGTTGCAGCAGTTCGGTTTTCAGGTAGGAGGAAGTCTAAAGCAGATTTAGGCTTCCATCCCAGATGCAGTTGATTAGGACTGACGTCGGTGGTGTTGTGTACAACATTGTTGTACAGACTGGCGATGAGAGGTAATTTCTCATCCCAGTCATCCTGGCTGGGCTTGATGTAATGCCTCAGCAGATGCTGCACCACTCGGTTCATCTGTTCAGCCTGCCCATTTGCTTCGGGATGATTCCCAAAAGTCATCTGAAGCTGGCTGCCCATCTGTTCAGCGGCCTTCTTCCACATCTCGCTTGTGAATCGCACATCTCTATCACTAACGATTGTCTTTGGCAGTCCAAAATCACACACCCAGTTATCCATGAATAACTTGATGACATGTTCAGTCGTAGCCGTCTCCGACATAGGAATTAGTCTAGCATACTTAGTGAACTTATCAACTATGACGAAGATGTGCCTCTTGCCGTTCTTGCTGGTCACGAGAGTATCCATGAAGTCCATGGAGATACTCTGCCCTGGGCCAGCAGGAATGGGTAGAGGCTTGAGTAACCCAAGTGGAGCTTGAGTCCGCGGCTTGTCCCGCTGACAGACCTGACATGTCTGTACGTACTTCTTTGCATCGTCCAGCATGTTAGGCCACCAAAATCGTTGTACTAAGTTAGCACTGGTCTTCTTATAGCCGAAATGTCCCGTTGCGTCGTGGCATTCTCCTAGGAACAAACTACGCAAATCTTCCCTAGATGGAACAACCAATCTCTTAAACACTGCCTTCTCAAGAAGAGCAACCCATCCACCATCACAAACTCATCAGTGGTGGCGTTGTCTTTAGCCTGAAGTTTGTTGATGATGTCCATCGTGATGGGATCTTCCTTGTAGGCTTCCTCCATAGATCGAGTCACGTCCTTAGATAGGCCAAACTCATAAATCAGCGCACCCAGGTAATCTGCCCTTCTAGACAACGCATCTGCAACCTTGTTGTACTCTCCCTTCACATAGTCTAGTTTGAAGTCATACTGATCTATGACTTCAATCCAGCGTTTGAGTGCATCGGAGAGAACCGGTTGTGTCTTGATCCACTTGAGGGTCTGATGGTCAGTTCTCAAATAGAAGAACCTTCCTAATAGATAGTGCCTCCAGTGGACAAGTGCCTTGTAGAGAGCRTAGAGTTCCCTCTCGTAGGTGGACTTTGCCAACTTCTTTGATGGCATCTTTTTGCTCATGTACTCAACCGGTCTCAACTTATTCCCTTCCGGCTGAGCCAACATTGCGCCAATGTTGTATTGGCTTGCGTCAGTGGTTACAACAAATGGCCTTTGCGGGTCGKGTACCATGAGAACCTCATGGTGCGTGAGAGCATGCTTCAAACGCTTGAAAGTTGCCTCACACTCGTCGGTCCAGTCCCATGGTGTGYCAAGTCGAGTTAGATCAGTCAAGGGAGATGCAATCGTGCTATAGTTCTTTACGAAGTTGCGGTAATAACCACACATTCCCAAGAATGATCTGACCTCAGTCACAGACTGGGGTCGTGGCCAGTCCCTAATGCTGGCCACCTTCGCATCTTCGGGCCTAATCCCGTTCGTGGATACTTCATGACCCAAGTACAAGATTCAAGTGTGACCGAACTCGCATTTCTCTGTGTTTATCTTATACTTGTGCTGCCGGAGGAGTGAAAGTACTTTGTCTACATGCTGAGCATGCTCCTCGGCAGTTCTACTAAAGATAAGTATATCGTCGAGGTACACGACAACAAACTTATCTAAGTAGTCATGGAAGATCCTATTCATGGCGTGTTGGAAAGTACCTGGCGCATTGCAAAGGCCAAAGGGCATCACCACAAACTCATACAGACCGTACCTGGTCTGAAATGTGATTTTGTGTTGGTCCTCTGGTCTTATGGCAATCTAATGGTAGCCAAATTTTAAGTCTATCTTTGTATAGTACTTACATCCCTGCACCCTATCCAATAAGTCATCGATGCGTGGTAGAGGCTCTACGTTCTTAACGGTGATGGCATTGAGGCCTCTATAATCAATGCACATCCTTAGTGTTCCCCCTTTCTTTGGAACAAACAGAACTGGTGAGCCAAAGGGGGAAGTGTTAGGCCGTATCCAACCCTTTTTTGTGAGCTCTTTCATTTGCCGACGAAGCTCGTCCAACTCGGTCGGAGCCATCCTATAGATTCTCCCTTTAGGTGTCTTGCTACCTGGGATGATCTCTATGGCATGGACAACCTCCCTGTCTACGACTCCTGAGGATCCTCGAACAGATCAGGGTCCTTAGCGACAACGGTCTCTATCTCTGGGGGGTTTTAACGACCTCCCTTTTTGCAAAGACATAGACTAAGTACATTCCTTCCTCTTGGTTCTGTTTATAATAGTTATAGAAGGCAGATGCGCATAAGCACCCATAAGAGTCTATTAACCTACTGGCTCTATACTTGGCCAGTCTAACGGTCCTCGCATTAGGTAACTCGCGCTTCAACACCTTCTTGTCCCAGTCGAACTGGGGCTTGGCAACCTCAAGGTAGTACATGCCCAATAACATGTCAAAAGGCAACTCGTCGCTCACCGGGAATGATATCTTATGATTTATCTCTCCTCCTGGGTAGGAGAAGGTGCAGACTACATCTTTAACGTAGTCCTCCACCATCATGCGCTCTTTGTTGGCCAAAGTAGATGCTACTGGTCTACTAAGGCGTTGCACCCGGTCCTTTAGGCATAGTCTGTCAACGCAGTCGCGACTTATGAAGTTTCGCGTGGAGCCAATGTCTACGAAGGTGCCGCACTTGCGACCACCCACACCAACTTCCACAACGAAGTGCTCCCCTCTAGGACCTCTACTCAGTGCCACCCAGGACTCACGAGGGTCCCTTGCCGACCACTCACCTTGAAGGTCCTCTAAGGCTTCAGCTTCAGACACATCCAACGTACAGAGTATAGTTGGGTCCGGATGCGTCTGCGGGGTGACTAAGGAGTCAATAGCTTTGGCCAACTCTTGAACCGGGGAGGGTACATCACCCGCTTCAACGAGAGTAGAAGCAGCTACATCTTCTACCGGCCCTAAGTGTTTCCCGCGCTGGAGCTCGTAGAGGCCCTAGACTGAGAAGAAGGAAACCCACCCTTAGGAGGAATCTTCTGCGAGACCTTCGGGTTCTTGCATTTAAACTGCATATGGCCGTACTCGCCGCAGTTTATGCAAGCACCTCGCGACCATCGATCTCGCCACACTTCCTGATCCAAGCCTGCTCTAACCCAAGCAGCTATCTTGTTTGGGTTAGCGGTCTGCCCCTGACTCCTTTGCCGACCGCCCTTGCCGCGGCCTGTTGCCTTAGTCTTAACTACTGCGGCGAGGTTGCTACCCTCAACACTCTCCTCGCCATCTAACTCTGCACCCTCCACAAGTTCAGAAACATCATCGATTTCAGTTTGATTCCCTTTGGAATCAACCATCATTAATCGACTACCCTTCTTCTTCCATTCTTGTGGTGTCTTCTTCTTCCTCTCGTCCGTAGAAGGGGTTTAAGCACTACCCAGCGTAGCCTCTAAGTCTAACGCCTTTTTACTGAATGTCTCAAAGGTGTGATACTCTAAGCGAGCCTCGCTGGCCAGTAAGTTCTTGATGTCTGTGGGAAGACACCTCAAGAACGTGGTCAATAAGACCTGTGGATTGTACTCCACTCCTGGGACCACGATCAGGCGCTCTACGGTTGTGGTCAGTTCTCGCATCGACTTGTACTTTCTAGCATCAAGCTTTAGAAGCCCATCAGTGGCAATCTGTGCCTGCTGAGGGCTGTGCCATCGAGCCTCCACTAAATCCATAAAGCTCTCCAGGGTGTGGGTATGCGCCCAATCACCCATGTTCCTGCCGAACCCCTTTGAAGCTACCAATCCATTAAGCCAGCGAGCTGCTGAACCCTATAAATAGGATGCGGCAGTAATCACCTCCTCCTCTACCAATGTCCTCTTTGCCCTCACCCACACTGGCACCGTTCTCAACCACGTGTCGAGAGCCTCGTCCTTCTTGTCTCCTGAGAAGGTTGGAGGTGGTTTCAGGGGGGTCTTGGGATACCAAGGAAATTGCTGTCCCGCTGGCGAGACAGATGGCGACTGTGGTGTAGCACCAGTCGCTGGACCAGAAGATGAAGAAGCAACAGTCTGAGATAAGGTTGCTGCTGATGTACCACTTGGTGGTGGTCCAAACTGAGCGGCATAGGGGCCTGTCGTCGCTGAGAATGGCAGCGACGGCAAGACTGCTGGCCTGATTTCTGGCCTGTGCATGGCATTCAGGATCTGGTCCAAGGTGTCCTGGATTGTATCCAGTTTACTATCCATGTATGTGTGCATGAACATGATGCTCGCCTTCAGAATTTTTTCATTATTGCTAAGGGTCGAGTCAGCTAACCCCTCTAGCGCAGCCTTGCTGCCTCCCTACCCTCAAGTCTGACATTCCTATCTCTAATCTCTTTCTCTCTTTTAGTAGCCTGTCCGAGTTCCTCCTCTAGCCTTAAGCGAATCCTCTCTACTTGCTGCAGCTCCATCTGCTCCCGGGTGTGTGGAGGTGGCGAGCTGAATTGTGAACCCGCCATCTGACTAGTGCCAGCTCCTGACGTACTGGAGATGGACTATGAACTGGTCGCATGACCAGTAGAGTCTGCAGCAGAAGTGGCTGACGAGGTAGCCACTGCTACCGCACTAGCTGCTGCTGCTGCTAACGCGCGTTCAGCCACTGCTGCTGCCTGTCTCGCAGTCTCTAGATTGTGGGCCCTTGTCTTGGCCCTAAGCCTTCTCTCGTCTCCTGGTAGTAGAACCTGGAACACAACGGGTATTCTTCCGGTATCCCGTCGTGTATGTCTCCTATCGTCAGATCTATCCTGCCCACCCTCTGATCCGCTCATGGGCTAGGCAGACGCTGTCTGCACTAATGTCCTCTTTGGGACCTACCGCAGCATACGTCTGACCGGTTCTAAAAATAAATAAAATGATAGGCCGACGAGTTACCCTAGACTACTAATCAAGCGACATAAAACATCACCTACACAAACTGTACACATGTAGTCTACCTCTATCTTTGATTAGTTCTACATAGAAGCTTTAAGAAGAACTGACTATGGTAGATTACAGTCCTACTCTAGGTTGTCTGTTAGGTGTTTAGCAGTCTGTCAACCAACTAATCAAGATAAAAACAAATTACAGTGAGCAGATGTATGCACAATGGATAATATAATGATGAACAGTTGAGTTCACAATTGGAATCCCCTTCCCCTGCATCCAACGTACCTATGAGCATCATCAAGCTGCGGTGTCTAAGGTGTGCAACCACGGCCCATCCCTGTGCCCAAGAAGTATGCCTATGACCAGCCTGCCCTTTATTTACCCTCGCGTGCAACGAGCCTTACGTCTGACTGATCTGGCTGATCAAGAGGCAATTTTTGGACAGCCCCCAAGAGTCCTTAGGAATTCTTTAACGTCACAATCAGGACGACGATCACAACCAGTGGACAGTTCAGACCCCAACCAGAAATGTTTATAGACGGTCTGGGAGCGTCTACGTAGGACTGGTCAGTCCGCACACCCCTTCTATCACCGCAGCAAAGAGCCTCAATGGACAAAGCAGCATGGCCTGCGTGTACTAATACCCATGGGTTGGCATGGTGACCGTGACCCGTGCTTCGACCAGGGCCCTTCAAAGGCACCGCCCTCTCCTGCCACCGAGAAGAATGTCGTCTCTTAAGATAGAGCACACACGACTCCTTTCAAAAGAGAGGACACTCAAGTTGGACTCACTTCCTCACCGGAAGAAGAGATTGAGAGGGTAGATAAGGAATGGGAACAACGTACCTGGAGATAGCTGCCCCCAACTACAGATTTCTCACCAATTGGGCCGACGTGCATTTTCGATGACCGGTCATTAGCCTCAGTACCACCCACAACGCAATGCAGTGCCACCTCAGCCAAAATGCGACATCAACATACTCTCATCATCATGCATACACCCGCTGTCGCCACAGCTCCCACGCTGTCGCCACAGCCTTCCAGCGCCTGGCCTCTCCACCTAGGCCCCACTAATCAACCAGCGCCAAAGTATCCTCACTGCACATGAAGCATCGTCAGCACACCAAGTCACAATGTCGCCGGTGCCAGGTAAGCGGCGATCACCAACCAGCTCTGATACCAAATTGCAAGGAATATGAGTGTGAGCGGCATACATAAAACCAAATTGTGAAATCACACAGCTGTCCAAGTAGTCATGTCCCAAGCAGAGAGTACAAATGCACGGAGAAAACCATCCATATAGAGCAATACAAGGAAATAATGAGCCAATGTTCAAGCCCGTAGGCCACACCAACACAGTATCCAAAGTTGCTCTGCTCTATGGCGCTCAGCGCCTAGCCTACTCTACCTGACTATCCTACCTACAGCTGGTTCACACAACAGGATCACTTCGACTCACGAAGACCAATGTACATGACTGCCAACATCATCGCCGACCTCTCTTCATGTACCAGGTACGTATCACGTCACCCTCAATCAGACCTTGATTACCCCACACAGCGCCTCCTTCCCTGAAGACCACCTGATCATCTGCTGTACCCCCTGGCGCCCAGCAGCCCGGCTATGGCTGCCTGCGCCCCGCTGCCCTACTGCGCCCCGCTGCCCTGCAGCGCCCCACGATACCTCTCGCGCCCCGTCAGCGCCCTTGGCAGCAGCGCAGCATCAAGCGAGAGCGCAGCAGCACTTCCGCATTGCCAGCACTGGCCAACATGCCTGGCCTAGGCTGCCTCACTCCTTTTGTGGAAGTGGCAGCCTCCTCGATGCTGCGTGTGGCCTGGCTGGAAGCTTCCAGTAGCTTCCGGTTGGTCCCAGACCCTCTGCCCAGGCCCGAGACTACAGTTGAGGGTCGGGGCCCTTTGCAGTTAGGCACGGCCTGAGTCTCCGAACTTGGGCTGTTTGCTGCATCTGTGCAGGGCTCCCAGGCAGGTGCGCCGGCACTACTGCTTTTGCCAAGGCCGAAGGCCTGCTCCCCAATGTATCGGTCCTGCTTTGTGTATGTGTGGCCAGGCGCAACTGTCAAGGCCTGGGCCAACTGTATGACGCAGCATTGCGAGGCTCACGCGTCTGCCCAACCAACTGGCGTGCTTCGGGAGCCTGAATACCCACATATGGAAATGCCGAATTTTGCTTGTGACGAATATTCAGGCCCGCCTTCACTTAGGGCGGGCACTTGGCTTGCTGGGGGCCTTAGCCCAGAACAATGGGATGTCTGATAGGGCCCCTTGAGGTCTTGTTCCTCACAGATTGATTGATGAAAAAAAAGAAAAGGTCGTGGGGCTGGTTGCGACACAGACGTGCAAATCGTTTGTTGACGAGGAGGAGGAGGAGGAGGAGGAGGAAGAGGATGGCGATAGGGAGGATGACGAAGAAGAGGCGAACGAGGACGGGGAGGAGAGGGAGGAGGAGGAGTAGGAGAGTAGGAGGGAGGAGGTGAAGAGGGAGGAGGAGGAGGCCAAAGGGGGGTCACGGGAGGAGGAGGAGGCCAAAGGGGGGTCACGGGAGAAGGGCGTTGAGTTAGGGGAGCAGGAGGCAGACAGTCTTGCCTCGACCATCCTCACCCGCTGCCCAGCCCCCGAACCCTTTTTTAAAGTTTTTTCTTTTGCAATCAATCAATCAATCAATCAATCAATCAATCAATCAA